TCGAAGACGTGAAACGCTATCGAGGGCGAGCTCGAGGGCGGTGGGACGAGGGCGGAAAGTCGTTTATCGAGTCGACGGGGTGTATCCAGCGCGCATTGATATGCAAAATTTGTAGTTTCGAGAAGCTCGAGCGCGCGCGCAGCAGCAGCGAGTAAACTTTGAGATCCAAGTGTCTCGGAGCTCCAGCTTTATAACCGATCTCGATGCCTTCGGTGCCTTCGGTGCACGTACGTGCGAGTACCAGATCTGGCCCTCCGATGTACGAGGGCCCACTAATCCGCTCCTAAATATCCCCGCATCGCTCTCAAATCCGCGCCGCAACTCGCCGCTTCAAGATTATAAAGTCATTATATGTGTATCTGCGGTAGAGAATAATAAGAAGTGAGGAAATAAGAAGGCAACCGTTTCGAGAGTACACGTGAACATTATCGAAAATACAATTTATAAGAGAGCTAGTAGCGAGCTTTAAATTGGTATGAAATTGTTCTTATTATAGAACCGTCAAATAAAAAAATATATAATATACAGGGTATCCGTCCATAAATGTCCGAGCAAATATCTCACAACTGATTGAAGTTACAAAAAAGTTTAATAAAAGAAATTAGCACAGTTTTTAGTACAAAAAAAAAATATAAGTGCATTAAATATATATATAATAAAATGCAAAACAATAAAAATAAACAATAAATAATTAAAATAATTTTGAAGCGTCAATTCCAGTAAAGTTTTCTGGCAATTACTTTCAACATGACTGCTCATACTTAATATTCTCTCAATTATCGATGTTCTAGCCCGTCGTATTATTTCCGCGCTGATATCAAAGGTGCATTCGAACGACCAGCAGAGACCAATGCAATCGCCATGTGCACCGGCTACGTTACGAGGATATGCGAGAGTCGGGAAAATTGGAGGAAACGGGAAGAGAGAAACGTCGCGAAAATGCAGGAGCGAGCTACGAAAGGGACGGTATTTAATTAGCTCGAGTTAAAAGCTCGGCTTAAATGATCTATTCAGCGCTTAGCGTCGAGCGAATTCACTTTGGTACTCCCTCGACTCCACCTTCCCGAGGAAGATCCCGAGCAGCGTTGTGTCCTGCGTTGTCTTACGTCTTCGTGTCGCGCAAATTCAGACTCACTCTCGCACTCGGAAACGTCGCGTTGAAAAGATTAAAGTTAAAATACTAGTATATCTTTTTAAAAGATCTAAAGAGTCTCTTTTTTAGAAATATATCGGATATTTTCTCATACTCTCTTTTCAAACAAATAAAATATGATCTAGAGATGTAACTCTTTCTCGAGATTCTTATTTTCCGGATCTCTCGCAAGGATCGAATATCCGATTCGTTGAAGAAAGCTTGAATGTAATTTCTTCCTGTGCTTTTTTTCGACAATCAATGGACGCACGAAACCGTCTGGAAGCGTTTCCTACGTCGCCTGCCAGCTGAACTTTTCCTCCGTCGCATTTTGAACACATCACCGCCCCCCGTGTCATCATGATTAAATGAAATCCATTAGGAAATGGAAGACGGGGCGCGGCAGACGAATAGTCGCGAGCGAGCGTAATGAAAAATCATTACGATGACTGTGACGAAGCGCGGGGGAAAGAATTGACGTGGCGGGTGAAAATGCGGTCGATATCCCATTGGGAATATGTAAAGGCATGATGAAGCTGAATCGAAAATAATCGAAGCTACCATATTTATTAAAGCACATTGAAATGCTACAGAGACACGTACACATGCCACTCTTATTACTTTTAAAAAATTCGATTTAAAAAATAATTTATAATAATAAAGTCGCAAATATAGATGTACTTTGAGAAATTGAATTTTCATAAATTATGATAAAGTATCATTCTTATTATTTTTTATCACTGAATAAAATCTATATATTTGTGAGAAAGTGCAAAAATTCTTATGAACAAATTTGCTCTTGAATTGTTTGCAAATGTCGTTTACACGACGTTTTACAGGCAAAATCAGTCACGAAGTAGAAATCATATTCAGCGGACCGATGATCGATCAGTCTACATTTTTACACTATCCCTTTTCCATCTTCCATCAACGTACCATCCTCCTATCAGCTAGAAGACTTACATCTCTTCGTTTTCCCAACCTCCGACCTACTGCTGAAAGTGCAGCGCAAGTTGTTAACCTTAGCATGCGGTTTAATTACACGGGCAAATATTATCGAACTGACGGAGTTAATTAGATAATTAAAACTTGAAGAGTAAACTACTTTGCGAGTCGAGCGGCACGCCGGTCTTTGAATATACATGAACGTGTACATGCAAATACCGTCGGTGTCTGCGCGAGACTGCACGATTAAAGAATGCCAGATGGAGGATCGCATATCAAAAATTTCTCAACATTTAATATGTAATTTTGAATTCTTAGAAAGAGAATAGTCGAAAAAAATAATTACAAAGGAATAAATCCGTTTTGATTTCGTAAAGTCGTCATTTGTATATGTGCGTCGTTCTTTAGTTTTCTGCAGAAATTTATTTAATTCGGAATTTTTTTAGTAGACAAAGATATGATTTTATAATTTTTCGGATCCAAAAAGATTTTAATTTGCTACAGTATTATCATTATTAATTAATTATCAAAATAAAAATTTAAATTCTATAAAAATGATACTTTTTTTTTTTATATTAAACAGCTGATTCTCTAAGTTAATTTTCTACAGAAAATTTCGAGGTACTTAATTTATTAATTTAGTAATTGATTTAAGAAATAATCGAAAAGCGTTAAAAATTTGTGAATATGATCTGGAAGTTTCATATAGAATAAATATCATTTTTATTAATTACTTAATAATATATAAATTGTACGCGATTTCTCTCGTGATTTACGACTACGCAGCGTCAACGACACGTCACCGTTGACGAAGAAATCCCTTTAAAAAGATAGAAGCTCTACAGTGCGGCGGAGATTAGCGGCCAGGTATGTTTTCGGCGTCATTATCTCCGGTTGGCAGAGCTCGCGGACCCTCGTCAGAGTCGGCGTTTATACCGCGAATCCTCTCGGATAAGTGAATCCCCTCAGTCGGACGATCCGAGTTTAAACGCTTTAACCTGCGCGAGCCGCGATTAGCGAACATAGTCGAGGAGACGATTGTAAACCGTGATGGACAGGTCAGAGTTGCGCGTGTCTCACTCCTTCGTATTCTTTCGCGCGAGTTTTCACAGTTCACACTCGATGCGAATTGCTAGACATATTTTATTTAAAATAGAATATGTAGGACGTATATATGAGATATATGAAGAGAAAATGTGTTATTTTTCATTTTATTTTAGTGCTTAAATCTGTTTCTAAATTATTGTATCGAAAAGAAAGTGTTTGTAATGCAGAAATATTAAATTACAACAAATTTCAACAAAATAAATCTGTCTTGACAACTTTTATTTCTTGACAGCTCTTTATCTTAAATTATGAAATTCTTAGAGCGCATGATAAATTATATATATCTGCTTTTCCATTTTTAAATGTTGAATCGATTTTTATAGATGAGTAATAAATTGGGTAAAACTAACGTTAAAAGAAGGAACATCAGCTATTTGATATAAACATCATTTATTCAATATTTTGTAGCATAATTTATATTTTTCTTTATTATTAATAATAAGTAAAATAAGAAAATTTTCACTATAGATTCGAGGAATTGTTAAATCATAGTTTTATGTTCACTTAAAAAATTTCGGCATAAAATGCAGAAAGCTTATTTCGCGGAAAGCTAAAAAACACGCTTAATGAAATCTTAAAACAGATTTGTTTTCTCCGACTATTCTCTTTTCACAAAATGAATAATTTTTCTACATTGAAAGAGACGCAATAATTTATAACATAATTTAACGATGTAAATGTGACTATCCAATATTAGATCAGTGCAATTCAAAATTAAATCATCCGTATTCTGCACAAGATGCAATGTTAATTCGAAGTGAGAGGATAGGCCAATTTATGTACATATTACATACGTATATTTGTACAATCGCGCCGATATAGACCAAGTAGTAATCACGACCGCGTTATTATGCGCTCGTCGAGCATATGTTAATTCGCGTTGGAGATGATGAATGCGGCGAAGAGCTGCCGCTGTACCGTGTGTCTTAGAATCATCGAGAGAGAATACTTCTTGTTCTCTAGTATCAAATATAGCGATGACTAAATTTCTGTTGGAATATAAGGTCCATTTAAAATAAAATAAACGAGATATTATTATCTATTAACATTTCTGAATACCTATAAAGTCGAGAAAAATTTTTCACGGTAGATACTAGATTTATTAATTGCATGTAACACGATAATCGTCGATATTTTCGTTGATAAAAAAATCAATTTTGCAATGATCAAAGTACGACGGTTCGCGGATTACCCTATATATACGTAAAACGACGCTGATAGAGAAACGCAGTGCCCAATTCATTAAAGTTTACACCGAGGAAAGCTCTCGAGTGCGCCCACAGCAAAGCACCCGCCTGTACAAACAATTGCAACGAGCTCCCAACTAATCTGGTGTGTCGACGGGGACTGGTCGGCGGGAATGGGGAAATGAGAGGGGGGAGAGTAGGAGATGAGAGCAAAGTAGAATATCAACATCCTACGCTCGTCCAACTTGAGGAATTCGCTATGAGCTTTCCGAGATGGTGTTTTGAATGAAACCAGACACGAAATATAGAATCGTCCCGGCTGACCGAATTTAACTTTCCGTTGTGCAAGGATCGAAAGTAAGAGAACAAAAGAAAAACATGAATAGTGTACAATTTGATTAAATCATTACGAAGATAGATACATCATATACAACGGAGATAGATAGATAGACAGATTTATTATCTTGTCTTAGTACACGATTTTGAAGGAGATTGAAACTTTTAGAAACCTACAACCGTAAATTTTGACACGCTAATCTCATAATTCGTCATACACGCAATCATAGTTTACATCGACGAAATATTTTGATATCGTGTCTAAAAATATCATCACTTCTTATCTGTTACAGACACAAGCGGAAAGTGCAAAACCTGCTGCCGTGCAAGAGCGCAGCGGGCGCGGCGGCAGTCGCCGGACGGGGCCGCGTGCTGCCGGATGGCCAACCGCATTCGGGCCCCGGCATCGGCGGCGGCGGCGGCGGCGGCGGCGGCGGCGCCGTTCTCTACGAGGATCTACCGGATCACGCGGTGTCGCACTCGCAGCTGCACAACCACCTGCCGGGGGGCCACGGCCAGGCGCCGACGATCGAGGTACGAAATCACGAGGGCCTACCGCGGGCCTCCCCGCCATCACGCGAACCACCGCTGCTACCTGCACGCAGGGAAACGAGACCGCCGCAGCCGCATCATCTCGACTATCTCGACTACCGCGATCCCAGGTCGATACTTCGCGTCCAGGACAAGCCGTCGCGGGCGGTCCTGGGCGGCTACCGGACGCCGCGCGCCCTCCTGGCCAAGTCGCAGGGGGTCCCCCTGTCGATCGCCGCCACCGCTCAATCGTCCGCCAGCCCCCGATTAACCCCGGGTGGCGCCAACAGTCCGCTCTTGCTGCGAAACGAGAACAATCTCTTGCGAGACAGCCACCTGCTACTGGCCACACAGAACGCCTTGATCACGAGCCAGCGGCCTCCCTCGCCTCCCGCACCATCCGTGCCCACGGCGATCTGTCGCGACGAGTTTCCGTCGTGTCGAGATCCCGACGTCGGCCTGGCCACTGACGGCTATCAGGCCGACGTGCGGGTTCCCGCGAGACCCCGCGATTCCGGTATCCCCATCACTCCCACTCACCGACCCGGACCGCGCGTCTCCCCCGTTCGGACACCGTCGAGTCCTATCGGGTCATCGGCGCCGACGAAGCTTGCGATCCGAGAAGCGGTTCGCAGACGGCCCTCGGTGGACTCCGAGGGCTACTCTTATATAGATTTCAAAGATTCTGATTTGGAGACCGCGAGGTACGGTCGCGCCGAGACCGCGAATCCCCCTGGCAAACGGCCGTTACGATCGACGACCGCGATATCGAGCTCGGTCGACTCAGACGGCTACTCGTACATCATCGATTACAACAACGGCAGGAGGGCGCCCGGCGCCGCCAGGAGGCTCGTCGCCGATGGCACCGAGGAGGAGGTCTGTCCGCTCTGCACCATGCAGCAGATACACCATCTCCTCAGCCAACCGGAGCAGGACGTCTACCTGCGCGTTCAGGACACGTGACACGTGCCGTCCTGGCCGTCGGCCGACAGTCTCGTCGCGGCGTAGAGACATACCCTCGGATCCCCCGTGGGACACGCGTTCCCTCCCCGAGACGGTAGCTTCAACATATCTCGCGGGTATCGCGTCAAGGTCGACCGAGCGACATCCGATTACCGAGCTATCTTCTTGTGCCGTGATGTGACGCAACGTGACACGACGCGACGCAATGCGACGTGACGTGACGTAGAAAAGGGACGTCGCAGCTGTGTCCCGTCTAAGGCTATCGTCGTAAGGTTATCTGGCGCCCTTCGGGTTTCGGCGAGCGGACGGAGGCGGAACACAAGGTATTCCACATTGACATTGACACTAAGGCTGTGTGTACGCTTCGTGATTCGATTTCTGTTTTCTCTGCAAGAGTGCTGTGGCCGATTTCTCATTCAATATTCAATTTATAATTCACGTAAGAGCTTCAATTCGATATTTGTAGTGTCCCGATTGTAATTATATGGAGTAGCTTTGATAAATTGCGATAAGCTAAATTAGTCAGTGTTCGCAAATTAAGAGATACTTTCAAATTTTTTTTTTTTTTTGAGATTTTATAACAAAACATTAGAAATGAAACACTAGAATATGCGAATAAAGGTGCAAACAATTTATGTTTCTCGAACGCTGACTAATTTAGTGATTTATTAAAGATTTACCGTCTATATTCTTGATTAAAAATTATGTCGGGAAAATTCTAGACAATTCAGATCACACGATGCTTTTGCACTTTGAAAAGACTGTAGCTAGTTTTTTCACATTTTTAGAAGAAATGTAGTTAGAGAGAAGGCAACTTTAATTATTATTATTATTATTATTATTAGTATTATTAACGTTATTTATTACCGTTAGTACGCCTCGCCGAACGGTCGGCACGGTGTCCTGTGAATATAACGGCGCGAATTCGACGAGGCGAAGGGCGAAATGACGGTCCTGTGTATATCTTGAGTTAATAGAAGAAAGAGGGAGAGAGGAAGATGGGAGAGAGAGAGAGAGAGAGGAGAGGTTTGAGAGAAATAAAATTACTTTGCTGAAAAATTTGACGAGGAGTGGTTATTGACCCGGTCCACAATCCTGTCCCGTCCCTCGTATCCCGTTCATGTAGTTAGAGAGAAGGCAACTTTATACACGCACTATGATTAAACAAAAAAAAAAAAAAAAAATCAATTTACTATTTAATAAACTATATATGAAGATGATAATAGCTAAAAAAAAAGCATCTTGTAATCCGAATGCCAGAAAAAAAAATGCAGAAATATTCGAAGACAATCGCGATAAAGTTATTCGAATGCTTATTTCTGCAAGAAAAAAAAAATATTACATTACTTTACACATAACAATAGAAATAAGCAGTCATTTATCGTTGCACCTAATCTCTCGCAGAGTAAACAACCGCGTATGACATTTTCTCGAGTCCTTCGTTCGCGTATCCGATGATATACACGGAAAGAAAAAAAGTTAATTTATGTCGTTTATTTGTCAATTAAACGTTCGAGTCACGTAAGCTTTCGACGAGCTGCCGTTCGTTCGCTGCCGCCGTCGACGCAGAAGGCGCCAGGGCGGGCTAGTCAGTATTTATTTTGTTACTTCGGAGCCGTGCCCGTGCAATCTCCACAAACTAACAAATCGAAAGAGTGCATGACGTGCGAAATTAAGATAAAGAGGGGAAACGTGACGCGGAAGGAAGTTAGGGAAATAGAGAGAGAGAGCGCGCGGGGCCTTATTCGTCGGTTGTGCGGGCACGGCGACCGGGCGCACTCTATGGTTGTAAATAGATTAGAGATTAGACCCGTGAATTTTGTAAATAGCACCACCTACGGAGAAACGCGATCGACAGGATCTAATATATATAGATATATACAGAAAGAGGTAGAGAGAAAGATGGAAGGACACACATAACTCGCGTAAGCCTCGAGGAAAGATGAATCTGATTTTCCGATTTGTAAATTATCTAAACTGTCATCACATTATAATTGTGCGATTGTGGACACCGCTATTATCATCGTCGTCTTTATTACTATTATTACGATTATCTTTACTCTATTATTATTATTATTATTATTATTATTATTATTATTATTACATAAGTCACGCCCCATCTCTGAAGAATGAATTGACGAAGTTAAAATAAGTCAAAAATAAAGAATGATAAAATTACGTTTGACCATCAGCGATTGACGGATGTGACGCTCGCGCGATCCAGACGCAAGATTACGCGGATTACTCTAAGCGAGTGTCACCGGAAAGAGTACCGGAAGCGCTACCAAGGGGATAAGGGAAACGCCGAGTTCTCTCTCGCGTACCAAAAATCGTCTCCCGATACAATGACAATAACACGTGGACACGGAATAACCACTTCTGTGTTCAAACTTTTCCCGACAGAGAAACGCCGTTATCGCTCGCTCGCTGGTTGCACCGATCGATTGATTTTCTGCATTAATCGAATAATTCTCGTTAACGAAGGGATCATCTTTGCTTTGGAATTTTTTATTTACAGAGAGAGAGAAACAAATTTTACGGACCGCACAGTTCCGCCAACCAGAGTCGGTACGACCAGCGAGTTCTTTATCGGTGATGAATTCTCGCAAACACAAATGGCAAGAGATGAGAAAGAAAGTAGGCCGCGGTGGTTCGCGGAGGAAGAAACGCGGGAGGTTAAAAAGAGAGAATAAAAAGGGCGGCTTCTCTCTGAAGGAAAGCAGGGAAAAATAGAGGGTAAGAGATTGACGCGTCACCATTGTGCCGCGTCACCTTTGCTCCCCAGGAGCGATTGCCATCTCTCCCGCGCGGACGAATAGATCTCTAATTTCGCAAATGGAGCTGAGCAAATATCCAGCGGCGCGAAGATCCTCTACCTCTTCTTCTTCTTCTTCTTCTTCTTCTTCTTCTTCTGTTTTCTCTCCGTGGCCGTGTAATTTAATTGCCGAAGGGTTGGCGAAGATTGGGAAGGGGATACGCGCCTCACGTTCTCTTTTCGTCCTGGACGGAGCCAGCAGTGACTGTTACTACTTGCAGCGAGGTCGAGGTCGACGCCCGAAAATCTCGATAGCCACGCGTCGCCGATTTCGACTCGGCGAATTGTTGATTTACCAACGAACGAACAAGAGACATAAATATTTGAGCGGCGCGAGAGAAAAGCGACTTACAATCTTCGGAAAAGACGATGAACAAAAGAAGCGCGAATATAGCTCGTGTTCTGATTTTGATTCTCGATGTGAAAAAGATTCGAGAAAGGGCTCCGCACTCCAATCCGCGTTTCTGCGGCATTCGCGATTCTTTCGGTGTCAAAGGGCTTCGAAATGTTTTGCCTTGTACGTCATCGCCGCGATAAAACGAAACTATCGGATAGAGTCGAGAGAATAGTCAATTCCGAATAATTTCGTCTTTCTCTCTCTCTCTTTCTCTCTCTCTCTCTCTCTCTCTCTCTCTCTCTCTCTCTCTTTCTTCCTTTCTTTGATTTCTGTTGCGAGATAAATTTTACTTTGATTCTTAACTGGTAGAGCAGAAATCACTATACTGAAATCATAAGTCTGGAAATTTAAAAAATCAAAAAACTGTATGCATTTGCATATAAGAAAATCTGCGGAAAGTGGCACACTATGTATATTCTTTAAGATATGCATTTTATCTTGGAAATAAGAATCGAAGAAAAGTAAAAAGAAAAAATGTTTTCTCTCGCTGAATAATGGTACGATGAATTTTCTTTAGAAATCTTGAAAATCGAATAAGACTGCCGCGTTTCAACCAAGGATTGATATCTGATTTTATTCTACGATGCGCGAAAGGATATTCGATTAAATTAATGAAATTAAAACTTTTATTTTTGAAGTTTCTCGGGTAATGTAATCGATCGATCTCAGCAGTCACGAGTCAATTAGATTGCATTTTATATTTGGCACTCTCATTTTTATTCACCATAAGAGCTTTTCTCAGCACGATCTTTTTCTGCTACATGAGCTACACATGATAGCTTGTCGATTCGCGAACACGGAGTCGAATCAAGCTTAAATATTTGAATG